AGTGTTAAAAGTAAGTCCGTTGTCGTCTGCCCAACTTTGAAATGGAGTCAGATCCTCCTGAAGTGCCTGTATATAATCTTGGTTGCGTATCTCTCTCCAAAGTTTCACGTCATCGGCAAAGAGCAGTATGTCTGACTTTACCTGTTGAGAAAGATCATTTATATAAATCAGGAAGAGGAGAGGTCCTAGTACTGAGCCCTGTTAGGACATTCCATAGCGTATGAGAAATCGAGGTTTACTCTGACTTCAAAATGTCGATTTGTCAGATATGACTGAGCCAGTCAATTAAAGGTGGTTTGATACCCAATTGTTTGAGCTTGTTGATAGGACATATGTGGTTAACCCTATCAAAAGTTTTAGAGAAATCAAGGTAAATGATGTCCACCTTCCCTTTTCGGTCAACGATGCTTGTTTATCTGTCCACCGCGGTCAGCAGGTTCGTCATGCAGGAGTAACCCTTCCTGAAACCATGCCGTTGGGGTAAGAAGAAATTTAAGGACAGCAGATAGTCGTGTATACCTTCGTATACCAGGGACTCAATGATCTTTGAAGGTATAGAGAGAAGAGCCACCGGACGATAACTTGAAGGTTCGCTGCGTCGACCTCCTTTGAAGATTGGTCGGGCCGTTAGGACCTAGCAGTTGAGAAACTCCAGTTTTGGCTTGACGAAGAGAGGCTGCGCAACAGAATAAGCTTTTCGGATTGGAAGTGAATTTATCCAAAAGCTTTAAATGGTACTGAAGCCTGTCTTCTCTTATAGCCTTCGTACATATGTTCCTTATATGTTTGTATTGCATGTACTCGCCGTTGTTGTAGGTTCGTTTGTATGCTGCTCAACAGTACCTTTTACGGCTAAGCAAACGGAGAGTGTGGTTTTTGATAATTTTAGGTTGCATGTGGCTTTTGGGGACCATTTGAGGGACTGACTGCTTTGTAGCACATAAGAGCGTGTGTAATAGGAAGTTCCAAAGAGCATCCACATCAAGTTAAGGGTGAACAACCCAATTCACCTGTCGTAGATAGTCCTGTAGAGCTGACGCATTCAACCGTTTGAAATTCCAGCGCCTGTTGGTGTTGAGATATCTAAGCTCAGTTTTGCTGACAAAACTGAAGGCTATAACGGCGTGATAGCTTTTCCCCAAAGGAGCCAGAATTGAGAGGTTGTCGACTAGAAATTCCTCATTTGTAAAGATACAGTCTAAGCGCGACGGTATCTGACTGTTCCTCCAACGAGTAGCCAACTTCACATGTTCGTGTAGTCCCAAATCCTCAATGAGGTTGAAGAACCGAGCTTCAACTGAATTTTCGCCTCCAATATACGTGTGTTCCGCGAAGTTGACTCTAGGGAGATTGAAGTCCCCTAGAATCAGGATATGAGTGAAGCCGAGACGCCTAGAGAGGGATAGTTCTTCCAGCATGCGACTTTCATACTCGATGTCGACAGTGGGCTTCCTATATATGACTACGACTAGGCACCTCGAAGTAGTGGACGATCTCATAGAGCTTCATATAGATTCCTCAAGATTGCCAAACTCATGGTTGTGAACTTGGTGTACCTCCAAGCCAGATGGTATGTATAGGGCTACTCCACCCCCAATTCCTGTTTTCTGTCATTGCGAAACAGAGACATCCCAGGTATTGCTAGCTCCTGGTCCGAATACTGAGGGGATATCCAAGTTTCAGATATTCTTATCAGATGAGCCTTGTTAGCATTGCTAAGTTCACATAGCTCATCCATTTTATTTGATAGACTCGCGGCGTTCATATATAAGCAGTTAAGGCTTTCAATTCGAAACGCGTGAGCTTCTTCCTGTTTGTCTGTGAGAGCCTTACGTGAGTGGACAGGTAACTCACCTATATAAGTTTTGTCGAATTGGTAGGCCCTGTCTTTTACACGTTTTTTTTTATCTTGAAGACAGTCCACAAGTGGAATGGTTAGCTCCAGCTTGCCTTTGTGCTTGATCCTGGCGTTATATGGCCTGTCCTAGTGTATGTGAATCCCAGTTGGCAACCGACGTCTGTTGACACGAAATGCTTCCGGAGCTGCAGCCGCCATATGGGAGGATGGAAAAGTTATTCTCATTAGTCGGGGTCGAGAAATACTGTCCTTCTTGGTTAGTCTCATCACATGCTGAGTCAGTATGTTTTTAAGCCTCAAGGACTGTTTGATAAATATCCATTCCCGAATGTCAGAGTTTGCTTGACTAGAGTCCATGTTTTCCGGTACACCTTGCACGATGATATTTCTTCCGCGGAAAAACTTCTCTCGAGAATCTTTCGGGACGTTCCGGATGAGATTGCGCTCAGAATACGGTATGTCGGGCAGTATTCTGACGTTACCATCGGATTTCAGTAGATGGCTAGCTAGCAGGACATCCTCTACTTCGGTAGCATTCTTGAGTGTAACACGAAGTAGTCTCGGGTGATTTTGATGTTTAGATACCTATCCCGGAGTGAGCCGTGTGACCATCAAAGGCTCTATTCTAGGAAGTTTGAGCTTTTTGTTCAGTTCACCCCAGAGCATCCTGTCGTTTTCGTCCTGCAAACTGAGAGGAAGGTCAGGATTGTCTATGAGGTTCGTGATTATGAAAGAGTCGTCACGGACCGTTGTTGTTTTCCCAGGTTTTCCGGTGCTTTCAGGTTCAGCACGTTGTTGTTTGAAAGTCAGTAGAACAATGATGTTGCTCAGCAGTACTACAGCGTCCGTGTTGCACGTAACACACACCCACTTACGGTCCGATTTGCTGAGTCTCTTGTAAGCAGTTGCCGTAAGATCTGTGCACGTTTCGTGGAACCAACCTTTGCAGTTGTTGCACTGCATGCCAGATGTAACAGCGAAACGGCATTCAGGTCGTTTGCATGAATTTTTCATGGCTGTATTGACGTAAACTGTGTTAAAGATAGTATCGAAGCTTAAGACCGTTAAAAATACACTAAAAATGGGAAAAATGTATAAAAACGGATGAGATAAAATGAACTAGCCTTTGCGTGAAAAACTGAAAAAAAAACGAATAGTAAGCTGAGGCAAAACCACAGTTAACAATTAAATTGGGCGAAACTAAAAAAAAGTGATCTACCGAACTTATAGCTCAGAATATAATGTTTAGATTAGAAATGGTACTTTTGTTGCGTAAGAACACAGAAAAAGTTTGAGAAATACAAACCACGTTAGGACTAAACTTCCATTCGAAAAGGTATATCCTACCATATGTAATGAAGCCCGAAGTAGCTAGCTGCCTCACCGTACTTGACAGTATTACCAACGTGGTTCTTCAGAATTCCAGATCTTATAACAGTGTTTAAAGCAAATTTTCTTTGTGTTGTTTTCAATTATTTGGCCACTGACATCAAAATTTCTGTCATCTGGTCATACGGAAAAGCACCTTACGAAGTTGTGGCTTTTCCACCCAAGTTTGCTCCCACTGTAGATCACCAGCGTGGATGATCTATGTCGAATGATCGGAAGCCTAGTCGAGTTAGACGGGAATGGTGTAACGAACTAGCTAGTGTAGAAGTCACACCTCGTGATCAGCACCATAGATAGACTACCCCATTGACGTACCAAGGTACTATAGATGCTTTGAAGACTGTACAACACAGAGGACGTCACTACAGACCACTGCCGCATGGGCCAGTCCATGGCGTACGACTAACTGATGCGCGTTGGTTGTCCTTGTTTTTGACGAGTATTGATGATTTGTTCGATATTCAATGACCCAACTACCGGGTGATTTGGCCAGGGCTCAGTGGAATTTCACTGGCCCTACAACACAACATGAAAGGCAAGGCGAACAAACGTGATCTCAGGAGAAAAACCGACGTATTTAATATCTTTTGTCAAATAAATTTCTAGTTCCCATCTGCGAAAACATGTAAATATTTTGACAAATATTACTGCAAACTCCATTCAACGTGGTTAAGTACTGATAATAATTATACTGAAGTACAATCTCACCACAACGGCCGGTTTTTATGTTATTTTAGGATTCTTTAGATGATATTCATGAATCACAATAACAAAAGTAAGGTAATTTCGAGGTCTTATAATGTTATCAGAGAATTTCAACAAACGTTTTTTTAACTACATCAGATTTTGTAATGAAGTGCAGAGAAATTAAACACACTTTGAAAAAATGTATACGGATTTTTATTTCAGCGGTAGTACTGTTTTTTAGTCTTTTAATAATTCGCTTGATGAGCCAAGTAATTATGAAATAATTCTCTTATTTATTCAGGATAGCTCTGACAACATTAAAACTTATAATTTACAGAATGTATCAATTTGTTGTAAACACTGCAGTGAATCTTTCAAATTTTTGTGAACGGACATATTCAGCACATGTTTCATAATTTTAAATGTATTCCATTGTATAGAATAGCTTGTTTCATCGAAGAATGAAAGGCATAAAAATCAACTGGCTTACGCCCTTAACTGAAGGCACAGCCAGGCCGTTAGGACATGGGTCTTCGCGCACATGTAACATATTGTCGTGGATTTTTTGTGTCGTTATTTATCAGCTATTAACAGCCTTTTTACATCGCACGTCAATTTTCGTAGTGTTTGTGCTTGTTACATAGTTTTTATTCCAATTTATTAGCAGTTTGACGTATTTTTTTCTCACCAGCTAAGTGAATCTGTAACAGCACTAAAAATCTTTAGTAAGCCTAATGTGGTTATTTGCAATAATACAAACTCAACAAAGTAAGATTCACCATTTTTCAAGTCATAGAATAGACCACGGATTGAGTTTTCAGAAAAATAAGCTTTAAAACTTATTACATATGGTTCACCTTCTTGATCTTGGTAATGATGAACATGGATGTTGGTAGTTGTTTATAAAATGTAGGTACAAGCAATTGAGCGGTAATCCATTTATGAATATTATATAACTTGCTAATATTTAGCCATGAACAGTTATACCCATTATAAGTATCATCGGTTTGTACTGAAGTGACATATTATTATGTAACGTATTTGAGAAGAATCATGTGAGTAACAATTGACTGACGACAAAACTCCAGCGCACAGTTTGTGCTTTCAAGGTCAGATCAAGGTTGTTGTGAAGTCTTCATAGACTACGATGAAGGTTATTGGCAGGGAGTTGAATAAAAACTCATCTGGATATATTACGCTAATTGCAGAAAATGAGGAGGACATGTGGTTAACGTACAACTTAGTCCAGGTTGGAGATAAAATGAGATGTTCCACGGTCAGAAAGGTCCAAAATGAATCGGCAACTGGTAGTGTGCAGACGAAGCAAGTGAGAACCAACCTAACAATAGAAGTAGAAAAAATCGACTTCGATTTGCAGGTGAGTATCACGAGTGTTCCTCATCATTATTTGTGAACTTTCGGTTGATACTATTTATTAGTGGTGTCCAAAATTAAGATATTCCAAATGTGAACTTCAAGGGTTGTTTAATGGTGTGTAAACTTGTGAGTGAAAGATCTTGAAAAATATTTTTGGATTGAAGTTGATAGCTTGACTGGAGCTTAAACAATGAAGTTGTCGTGAAACCTTGTTTTTCCCTTGGCGCAGCTATAATTAGATGTTAAATTTATTCTTCATAGTTTTTAGTAACTTTGTTCATAGAAAAATCTTGAAATAAATGAGGTATATGGTTTTATTTTCGAACCGACGGGAGTCTGTGAAAGGATTAGAACATCGCTAAATAAATTTGTTTGACGGATAATTTCCAAAATTTATGGTGCTTAACAACAAATAAGTTATTCGTATCAAAATGGTGTTTCGGCGCCGTATAACAAGAAGAGTGTTACTATTTGAACTCATCGGAATGGTCAATTAGCTGACGACACAGAATAATTTAAAAGATTATGAATTATCTGGGTTAAAACCTCATTTCCACTTCACACATCTAGCAGGACTTCGCTTTTGTTGCCGAGTTTATGATGGACAACAAATAGTGGTAGCGGTTAGTAAAATTGGTAAATACGTGCAGAATACTCGAATCTCATGGAATTGGTTGACGATCCGTTCTAAAAAATGTTTTGTTTACTTTTTGCCATCAAAATGTTCATTATCTCTACAAAACTGACTGAAAACGTCTTGCTTTTACATCTTAAGCGCGTCTCCTGATTGTGTTTAGTCACTTTGATGTTTGTCTTTCATCGCATACACTGTATTGGTGATTTGTATTGGAAGTATTTTTTCTTAAATAGGGTTCAGTACTTCACTTGAAAGGGCGCAACGTGGTAGAAAATCAGTTTGTTAAAATGGGCGCCTACCATACATTAGACCTAAGAATCGATGAAAAGTTCACTATCACTAAAACAGAATGGGATAGTGTTGCAATTATGCTTGTCGAACAGGCATCTGACCCAACACAACAAGCTGATCTTGCTGCAGTTATCATGCATGAAGGCCTTGCTTATGTTTGTTTGATAACAAGTACAACAACTATTGTTCGTGCGAAGATTGATACTACAATTCCACGCAAACGTCCAGGTTTACCTACTGCTCAGCATGAAAAGGGTCTGTCACGCTTTTTTGAACAAATAATGCAAGCACTGGAGCGTCACATTCGTTTCGACAGTAAGCTTTCGCATCACATTACATTTACTTTTGTGTTATATACCTTTTTGCATTTGTTTCTGTTCAAGGATTTAAATATTAGTTGCGTGATTTCGTAGTGGCGGAATCAGTTAAAGTGTAAACATTGGATTCTTCTTCAATATGAAGAATCATAAATGGTTAATTAACTTAATACTTAGTAGTGTATTCTATTTTAGTGTTAGTGTAAAGCGATTGAATGGTTATTGTATATTTCATCCCAAATTTTGAATAGATTTAGTTTCAAAACGATACAAAGAAAAGGACAACATTTGTGTTTCTAACTAATGTCGTCACTTTTTTCTTACCGCTTTTTCAAATTATCATTTAATGAGTTAGTACTGAGTAAATTCAGTCAGCTAATCAGTTTTAGTTTGTGTAGGTCTTAGGACAAATTAATAAAGTAAAAAGCAAAAGAAAGAGGAAGAATATTCATCACCATAGAAATATGGAAACAGGAAAGATAATATTGTGAAGGGAATATATAGGGTCAAAGGATGGAAATTGGGTGATTATACTTAAGTCAGGATTTAGAGGAAATAGAAGATTAATTTTACTGCATCGTTGCTGTCTATTTTTACATAACTTACATCCGGAACTGTCGATCACAACTTCTGTACAGTTCCTCACTAGGAAGTCTACACTCATAGCTATGACTTAAACTAACAGTGAATGAATTCATGATTTATTATCAGATATTGATACTAAGATAATACACGAATGAGTAAAATAAAATAAAACTACGTAAAATATGTACTAGGTGCTCTACAACTTCCTACATGAACAGTGTCAACAGCCAATAATTTCATGGATTGGTGCTATTTCTTAGTTTTTGCAATCACAAAAATTTTCAAACATACTTTCATAATAACCCTTATAGCGCTTTAAACTAGGCAGCAACTGAATATATGTGACACATATCTTAATCGCCTCAGCTCATAAATGCTCGTAATCCCATCAACCAACTTATCACTTGCATGTAGTTCTGCATACAACATTAACATTGCCTACTTTGTGAGTTCACCATGCATAAACAAGACTTCGAGGGCACATGTAATCAAATACCTACAGCCTAAGTATGTCTTTCACATTCTAGCCCGTCCATGACAAGTGTAATATAAAAAAAGCGAACTGTCGTTCAGCAAACTTTTTCTTAAGACTATTGACCATTTCACTTACACCGGAATTCCTATCAATTCTGGTGGATAAGAATCTGACGGAATCTCGACACATATTTAGAAATATCTGTATGTTTTTGCCAGCATGCGTCACTTATGGCGTTCTACTTTACGGGTGTGAAACATGACCATTAAAATGGCGGACGTTCATAGGTTACTAATGTGCAATCATAGGTGTCCTTGAAAAATAATTCACCTGTTTGAATTGTCGAGTGAGAAATATTGAGGTTAGGCATAGGTCACTAGTTAAAAATGATAAACTGACTGGTATGGTAGTGAATCCATATTTACTGAGTCGATTGGGATGTGTAATAATAAATATCCTCAGCCACCGCCTTCCCCGACCAGCGATTTTGCCTGGTATAAGATTCAGGTGAAATAAAGCTAAGAGCAGCTAAACCGAGAAGTGGCATCAGCCTATGAAATTATTGACATTCTTGGACTGAGTTGTAGTGATAAGTGGAGATTACCTGGTTATGATGCGCATAACTAGTGATTGGAGATGTTGGGTAATATGGCTCTAAATCGTTCGTAACGGCGCAGATACACTCTTTGTCTACCTTTAGGTGCAGAGTCCGAAAAGCCTATACTTTCTTTTGTCCTTTCTATACTTAATCTTTTCTACCACCAATACTACTATTGACACTTCTACTCCTTGACAGTTTCATCTGGTTGTGTTAATATGAATCTATAGATATATTTGCCCATTTCTACGTTGCATATAGCTGAATGACTGAATCTCTACACTACAGGTAAAGTAATTCAATTTGAAATGGTTTGGATTATCGCGTTATTTATATTTTTGACTGAAATTTGACCAGTCTTAGTTGGTATGTGAACATCCTGTGCGAATTGCCTCAATATAACCATTATTTTCCATTAGTAGACTGTTCATCTTCGTAAAGAGTGGTTGCTTCTTCCTTAACTGAAAGATTTCTCCGGATTGTACCTTTTCGTTTCCCCCATTATTACTACCATTACATTACCTTACACCAATCTGGTCGTTATTGTTTCTTTTTTCTTCCCTTCTCTTTAAATTCCTCATTTTTTTGTTTGGCGCATATATATTTGGTGCCCCTTGTACCAATATTTATGTGTTCAAATAAATAAATAAATAATATAACCATTATGACAGGTTGATATAGAACAGATGAAATGTGGCTAACAGATGAATCAAGGGCGTTCATCCCTTTTTATTTGCAACTTGTCAGCTGGATGTCCTGGATTCGAATGTTAGCCGTATTCCATCCATTCTATATCAACAGGTAAAGTTACCAAAGATCAAATGGCCATTTTGCAACTCTGCTGATTTACTTGGAAACTTTGTAATGCTAAGTCCCCAAATAAAACTACGCACCTGAAATAAAATTCAAGCTTTCTTAATTACTAACTGTATCCAATCACATACTTCTATCCTACCATATTTGTTTTTATTATTACACAAAAAACCATAGTGCAATCGAACATCATAAAATCCCCCACACTAAACAACTGGTCAATATTTTGTAAACATAACAGAGTAAAACTGATAAAATCAGTAAAGAAATTTTAGAAAATTAAGAATACCGTGGGTTAAAATGCACAGTTTAAGTGAAACTGTAATCAAAACATATATGATTCAATATGAAGTATGTATGAGCCACTAGAATGATATGTCTTTGAAGTCGGCGGAACCATTAATTTACTTATCCCTAAAATCTCTTTCTTTAAAATTACAGTCCTTATCTACAAAAATCTTGTTACCAAACCAGATATTATGATCAAATTATTTACACCTAAATCTTTTGATGCTTCTCAGACAAAACCCTTAATTTCATTCTTTTTTTTGTCAAATTTAATTTAGTCGTCAAATGTATCATATTAGCCAGTCCTGGATTTCTACGTGAACAATTTTTTGAATTTATGATCCAGACAGCAACAAGACAAGAAAAACGTGTATTCTTAGAAAATAAATCAAAATTTATGCTTGTTCATTCTTCATCCGGTCATAAACATGCATTGAAAGAAGTACTCACAGATAGTGTTGTTATGAGTAAACTAGTTAATACAAAAGCAACATCTGAAGTTACGGCATTAAATGACTTTTATCAAATGCTTAAAACAGATCAATCACGTGCATTCTATGGGTATGCTGTATTGTATAAACATTTCCTAAACTCCATTTATTCATCCTATAAATTAGTAATACTACAACATTCCCTTTTATTTGTAGTATATAATGATCAGTCAGTCAGTCGATTGTAGATAACATAAGACAACCCCAGTACAAATATGTCCTTTACCTCGTATTACCACATTTGGGAGTGTTTTAGTAGATATCAGAAAGATTCTGACATGTATACACTTTAAATTTGTCATAGTAATTGAGTCGTTGTGTTTATTAATCTTCCTGTTAGGAATCATTAGTGTGTTTATATTTTGTAGAATATAGTCTTATGATTTATGCATAAGGAAGAGAATTTTAACGCAACTTTTAAAGTCTCCACAACCAGTATAATTTCATTAATTGCTTTAGCACAGGAAGATCATTTGCCTTCTTGAAAATGGACAGTTGTAATATTAGTGATTAAAGCATTTGATTTCTTTAGGTTTCAAGTTTGAACTTCACTTTATAATACCTTGATCTATACAGCTGGGTAATATTACCAGTATTCACATGAGTAAAATTTAACTCGACTCTGAGTAAATAAACTTGTACTTGTTAAGTAAATTATATCAATGCTAGTTGACATCCTGCTTATATTTTGTCGGACATCTATTTCATGTTAATATCATAAAGAAATCTCCTTGCACTTGAAATGAGTACATCGATATTCCATTATAGATGTGAATTGTACATAGTTATATGAACCAATTACTTACATGCTCCTGTTACTCTTCGTGCAGGATCATATGCCGCCCATCAGCACTCTCCATCCAACCATGTCCTGGGAAATATGTGAATCATTACTTATCTTTAACTAATTAAGATTAATAAAGTCAAAAATCCAGAAAGTTACTGTCTGTAATTTAATCTCAATATTTAAAATTTATAGCTTACCTATATCTCTGTAAGTAGATCCAACACCGTGAAAAGCAACCTACATTAATTATGTTATTTAGTAGTTCCCTAGTTAGATGTGATATTGCAGTGTCAAAAGGGTGAAATCAAGTCTGCGAAAATCGATTAGTATGATACTGCAAATATGCGTTCATATAACAAGTTATTGATCGACTGGTGTGTAATACTGCTCAGTCAAATTATATAAATCTGAATTTATACGGCTAAAATAAATCATATGGAATGTAGTGTATACATATACCACTTTGGATTATTTCTGAGGTCGAATAAATCCTTAGCACCAGTCTTTGCTTTTTACTAAACATCATCGGATTTGGGATGTCTGTGTATCAAGCACAAACCAGTTAAATACTCTGAGAGTATGACAGTCCTGGATATAAAAAAAGGAATTCAGTTATGCTCTAGTCATGTTAAAACTTGACAATATTATCCATCACAATGGGGCCAATAAAATTATCAAGATAACCATGCAAAAATGCCCATTTCATAAAAAAATTCATATTACTTCAATCGGTAAGTCAAATATTTAAGACTAACAAAAGAGAATCTGACTATTTCAATTATCCATTATCATAAACTTCCATCACTTAGTAAACCATTCAAAATCACTGAGCGTATAACATCTAACATCTAGTGTAGGACTAGTCAGTAATGCACATCCATACAGGATTTAGTCACAGTGTGATGTGTGCTATTGATGTCGACAAATATAAGTTGTATATATCATCATTTGAAAGTAAAATGCCTGGAGGCAGAAGGTTAAGAAGATCAAAAAGGAGAACAAAAACAAAGAATAACTGGTGTAGAAACGAAGGAGCATCAAAGTCTGAGGCAATTGATGGATATTCTGCAAAGGAAGTATTTACTGCATGGTTCTCAGATTTTGCTAAGAAATTTTGTAATGTTGTGTTAAAATGCATTTAGTTGTCCCAGCTGGTGTTCTCGTTCAATACAACACGACCTTCAAGTCTTGTAGAGAGCACGACATATTCAAATGAATGGTAACTTTATCGATAGAAGTTAATGAGCACTAAGGCCCAGAGAAACTTGACATTGGCCACCACTCAGTGGTCAAGTAATATATCTCAGTTCTGTGGAAGGCCAATCGTGGCCTTAATAGTTCAATAGTAATGTACCAGACTGTGAAGTTGGGTAACTCAGGTAAGAATCCCACGGCAAGCATCAGTGCTTAAAGACCACATGTGTGTCTTCGTAACAAGTTCCAACCAGCAGAAACTCCGGATCCTGGATTTTCTGTCGACTACCTCTATCTATGATGTTCAGGAAATACAAATTTATACAGGGCAACTAGGTTAGTAACCAGTAATCGTTTGCTCATTGGTGATCAATCATCGAGATCAACCCCATTTAGGTCCTGGTAGGAGTCTGTGACCTGAGTTGGCTATCTCGAAAGTGATAGCTAACGTCAGTTGACGACGGAAACCGTATCTAAACTATATATTTTTTAAAATCTCTAGAAAATACCCTTAAGAACTTGTTGATACCTTGCTTTGTTGGATAAACAGTATTCGTAGTAGTAACTATCTTACATTTCTTTTTCTCAGTTAATTCATTTAATCTTTTTTATTCACTTTATTTATTTAATCCAAACGTAAACGCAGTTACAAACATGTTAAGACAGCTGCTGATGCATGCGCTATTGATACACTACTGGTAACTGATGCATTATTCCGTTCACGTAATTTAAATGAAAGAAAACAATATGTGGAGTTAGTCGACCAAGTTAAAGATAATCAAGGCACTGTACGCATATTTTCTAGCCTACATGTTTCTGGTGAACGTAAGTTTCTTTTCTATTGTTATATACTCTTACCCACTATAATAGTAATAATAATTTTTGTGTACTGTTCACGTAAGAGATAAACGGTGTTTGTAGTTGATCATTCATAAAATATTCCAATCACTTCATCTGATGAAATTCTGAGCCGTCGCCATTCTATTCACTGCTACCAATGTTGTAATCTTCCCTCAACACTAACGTTATTTATTCCGTAACTCCACCGTATGCGAACAATGCTTGGAAAACATCCATGATCTAATGATAACAAACTACGACATGCTTTCTGCCTTCAAAGATCACTTCTGACAATCGTAAGATAATACAGAACAATCTTCTGTACAATATACTTACGTTTAATAGGAAGACAGGTATATTGTGTATATCGATCTTCCTGGTTTATAACAATGCAAATATATCCAAGTAAAACTATCAATGAAACGCTTATTCTGAACCTATCTATAAAAACACCGGTATGTTTTCTCTTAAAGGATAATAGCTGTTTCTGTTCAATTGTTGTGTGTCACTAGTTAACAGTTTCCGTGTATCAAATATTAAGTTTAATAATTGAACCATTTCTCATCATTAATTAACGTCATAACTGAGTTTTACTTTATTCTTTGAATTTGATGATATAAAAATTTGTAGAGCTTAATCAACTATCAGGTGTAGCCGCAATATTGCGCTTCCCAATACCTGAACCTGTGACAGATGACGAATCGAATAGTTCTGAGGATGACGATAATTAACTAATTAGTTCTTCTACTTAACTTTGTACTCAATGAATTGTTTTTCCATAAGTAAACATGTATATTGTGGTGTGTGTCTTTCTATCAATATTATTATTCTGATTTTCATTTTCAATTGCCTCCTTTTTGATATCCTCATTCTTTGAGTTCGTTGTTAGTATTATTATTTATCTTCACTCTTTAATTATCCTTTGCGCTGCTTTTACATTGTTGCTGCGCTTATATAATACCGTGAAACTTACAATCAGTATCCATTTGTGCCAAATCCTAAGTTCTGTACTTTCATTTGTCTCTCCTGTACAAAATTATATTGAAGTGTTTGCTATTTCTATGGTATCTTACTTAAATTTAAAAATAATTTCGTATTATATCTTCGGGGATGATCTTAACATACGCAGGTGAATTTGCTAATCGGACTTACGATTCCCGATAGAAAGAAATAAACTTATAAAATTTACTTCCTAACCTCCTCTGAATGACAGTTGTTTCCTTTGAGTAAAAATAATCCATGTCTTTCAAGTCTTGTTGTCCCAAACTAACCATTGTTTCAATAAATAAAACCTAGGACTTTGTACAAATGTGTGTCAGTCCAAGTTACCACACTAACAGTTGTAAAGTCACCAGGTCTAGTAAAAGTTCTAAGACCCACTAATGTTTCCAGCTATTTTCGACCATCTTGTTGATTTTGAAGTGATGACGTAGCGAAAATTCCCACCTGGATGATGAAAAAGTATCTGAATTAGAGGTTTCTCCTGATTATTTCTAAACACCTGAAACCCCGAATATTCATGTATTATTACTCAAGTGTTTATAAAACCTTAATTTACTATTATGAGTGAATTCCAATAATAGATCAAATACTCGGAAGTTGGGAGAAAAACGTGTTACCTTTAGAAGTATATCCATAACAATATTTTCTACAAATAATGGAAAGTTAATACCCGGCGATGTAATCGATCCATATACTAGTTGAGTACAAAATCTAATTGTCCAAATAAATAGCCTTCAGCAGAAATGATGTATGTGACTGGTATTTCTTTCAATGTCTCGCGACCATTGAATTTAAACGACTCCGGATACATGAATATAATTACAGTCAGTCAGTAACAACGTGGAACTCCGTACGTACGTACATCAGTTCGAGTTGGCATACCATATATATATAATTACAGTCGAGCGGGAACTAGTCTACCTGGGGATCTGATACAGTATAAATTTTTAGTCAATGCACCTATAATCATGGTTATGTGTCTACATCAGTCGAGCTTACTCCTCTGTGGCGATATTTATTTAAACGCATGAACATTGGTACAAGGGATCATCAAATATATATGCGACACACTGTCGTCCGATTTGTGTAAGGCCTAAAATACTTCCCGGGTCTTTGATCTAGAAGTCTAATCCACAAGGCTGTAGAGCAACGTTAGGAGATGCAGTCCCATAGTAGTCGGTGACCGACAATAGGTTCATACACTATTTTTTCCCTCAGGATTTTGGAACCCATGTGCACCATCAGTTTGGAATCAGGGTTTTCCAACTCCCCTAGGTAGATCCTCGGTACCCACCACCAACCCGGTTAAGACACCGGACATTCGCTTTTCGTTCTTTTAATTTCGTAAGCAACACCCTCGCCGCGAGAAGGCAGTGAGTAGGACTTCCCTGACAATGGCTGTATACGCATGAACATATGAGAGCATTTCGAGAGGGAGAGCGAACTCTCCCCACCCTCGGCCGTACCAGGGCATTTAGGGGCAATAGTCTACTACTAATACTTAGGTTAAATTGTTAGCCTCTAACTACCACTTTTATAGACTGCTCAAGTGATCTTATTCGTCCCTGCTGCTGCTTCACTTCATATCACTTACAGCCTTTTGTAACTTCGCTATGAATTGGTAACTCGGTATCAATCTTCCTCTACAACTTAAATAATCCTGAATTTATCCGGGCAATCGACACAAGGGCTTTGCACTCAGCGAAAGCATAGTCTTTTTTGAAGAGCCTGAACAACCTAGTATTTTCACATATAATAGTCATGCAGAGACTAACATCATTCTAATAGTCTTAGTGAAATGTATTTCTGTAGATACAATTCCTGTATCATGAGCAAGTACGACCCTCAAGACATTTGCTTTTCTTTTCCCTCACGATGCATTGCTAATCCAATGAGGGTCTGAATGTAGCAATAAAGCACGTACATTTCATATACCATTTACACTAAACGTGTCTTGTTCTTAACGATCGTGCATTAATGATAGCCAAAAATTTATATTTGCCTGACTAAAACTTTCCTACGTGTCTCAGTATTGAGACTTTTGGTAATGCTTCAGCTCTTAGTTTGAGAGTGAGGTCAACATACAAATGCATCTGTACACTGGCCAATGTCACTGAAATTCAAAACCAATCACCTATTTATTCTGTATTTGTCCATTTGAACAGAATCTACATCAACAGATGTTTTCTTAATGAGTTCCTCTTGGTAGACTATAATATTCTACATACTGAAGTCCTTCTATGATCCATTATCTTCTGAAGCATCACCTTCAACGCAGATAGCTAAAAATCAGAAATATATACTTATATGCTTTTATGAACAGCGTTTGACTATTCCTAAAGTCGCTTAATTAATGCTTTTATCGGATGCAAGCGATGATTGAGGGCACTGTAAATACGAATAGCTTTGAACTGACAATTTAATTATTCAGACTACAACTATTGGGTTACAAACTTGAATATTCCTTACCTATTTTTGTCTCATGTAGCGAGTTCACAAATTTATGCACTACAAATGTATCATAAAATGTATTACGGGAGCGTGTATTAGTAACATCAACATATGAAATATCCGTAGGCACTATTCGACGTACATACTCAAAATATATTTAAGCTTAAGCAAAATAGATCAATATATTTAGATTATGTTTAATATACATGAACCATGCCATAAATAAAAGTCCAAAATAAAATATAAGTAGTTAGTTCTCCGAAAACCCCTCCATAAGTTAAACACGAACGCTGAATAAAGTACTTGTTCCATGATTTTCCTGCCTTTTGTAACAGTAACAATGATAGGAAACCATGCGCCAGGAAATAAAACATAAATCCCATGATTCCTGCAGATTGCATTAAGGTATTAATAATAATCTTACCTGTTAAACCTAATATCCCAGCTGTACATCCAGAAAGTGCCGCGATAGATATGCGACAGTAGTTAATCAAAGCAAGGTTATGTTGTGCAGCAGCGGGACTGTATGTGATTAAATCTACTGGAGATCCCATTTAGTAGCTTTTTCCTATTTAGTTGTAAAAGTATTTCTTGAGGACACTCGGTATATAACTGGTTTAGTTTGGTTCCACTCTCAGTTTACTTCATATAGAAGTAACCAAATATAAGTTTACCTGGTTTGATCCAAAAATACGGACAATTAGAATTAGACATAATTCGTGGTTGTTAATATAATTCGGAAATGCTTACGATCGTTGATACATAAGTAAAGACGATAAAAACATGATAGTTCTTGCATTGTCAACCGTAACATGCCACAACATCATTCGTAAATTATAAAGTAGCTGTGTTATGGTATACGATTAAGTCTATAATGTTGCTATTCAGGAGATAGTAATTACTTACTACACAGAAATCAAGAAGATTTTCACATACAAAATGGGCCTCTGATTTTATAAGTATGAATCAGATATCCATAATTTCAGATTTATTAGTGGAAAATGTATAGAAACATCGACAGTACATAAAAAAAGGTCACTTGACTCATCCTCTACTTTCTTCACATATTTTTAAACTTAAATATGAGGGAAACACTTATTTTTTATTTTATTTTAACACATAGATATCGGTACAAGAAGGCACCAAATACATAGCGCCACACAGATCTCATTTGATATGTGTGAGGGCTGTGATACTACCCGGGTGCCCAAACAGAAGCAGGTGGTTTTCTTAGGGGGCCACACCCCGAGCCTTTGACCTGGATATCTGATCCACAAGGCAGTGGAGCATCGTGAGGAGATGCAGTCCCATGGTAGCCGGTGACCAACGATTGGTTCATACGCCATTTGTTCCCGCAGGATACTGGAGCCCATGTGCACCATTGGTTTGGCATCCGGTTATAGCGCCGGACATTCGCTTTTCGTCCTCTCATTTTCGTAAACAAAACCTCCGCCACGAGAAGGCAGTGAGTAGGACTTCCCTGGCAGGGGCTGTATACGCGTGGTCATGTGAGAGCATTTCGAGAGGGGGAGAGGACTCCCCCCACTCTCGGCCATACCAGGGCATGAGGGAAAAATCCAAAAAGGTAAAGGTTGGATAACTGTGAAACTCATTATTCCATCATGAGTTTATGCAATCGCGCTTTCCGAAGCTTTTGCAAATGACTTCGGGGATGTTTAGTTCTAGAGGGATCCAAAAGAGGTCTTGATACCCAAATTATTATTCAAGAGACGTAATGCCTATATAAGAACACATCGCGTTTAACAGTAAGGTAACTGGGGAATTTCAAAACTTCTAGTCGCTTGTTGTAAATTGTAAAGTTCTATCGCTAACTTAGTACCTACTCTTTGAACACATAGGATGTCTACATTTCTAATTCAATATGGACTAGCATCTTGGATATAGTATTCGAGATTATGTCTTAAGTAGGTTGGATATAGAATTCGAAACACTTCTTGGTCAAAGCATTTGAATGCTTTGTGAAGTGACCATAATAGGCGGAACCCTTTAACGGCTGGTGGCATTGACATCTGCTACTTTTTAAAACTATGGCCTGCAATAACATCTAAATCTTTCTGTTCTAAAAATTCTCCGTTATATCCAACCGTTGAGATAGTCTAAGTCAGTTTGAAGCTTTAGTTTATTAGTGTCACAACGTATTACCCATTAAATATTAACATCATACCTAAATAAAGGTGATGACGGTGTGAATAGTTTCGGCAACTCGTTAATCTAGAGTATGACAAGCAGAAGACCTAAGAATATGTCTTGAGAGACTCTACTTTTCCAGGTTTACATCTAGAGAATATCCAGTCCATTCTTACTTTATCTTGGATCGTAAAGGGGGTTTCTTACCCAATCTTGTGTTGTGCCCATTATTACAGAGTTGGAAAGCTTTAGCATAAAGTTTAAAGCAAACACTACCAAGTCTCTGGTTGAATCTTACGGATACCACAGCGACAATCCGTATATCCGACCCGCTGCTGACATTAGTGAAGCAAGTATACCTCAGGTGTCAACAAATTATATAATTCTACATAACTTGTTCTGAATTATTTTTTCCAGTATTTTGACTACTTCACTGGTTGAATTGACAGGCCCTTAGTTGAACACAAGATATCTTCTACAGTCCTTACAAATAAGGTTAACCATGGCATCCTTTCAATTATTTGTTAGGAAAGGTATATACCGAACAAAGCTGAGTAGTTCTGCAAGAATTTCCACGAGGAACGACAGCAATCGAAATCGTAACTTATTAAAACCTGGTGAATTACTAGATCCTAGGCTACTGATTAATCGAGAATCGGCTACCTCGGTCACAAGTACTGGTACTGTGTTTGGTATCTCAACAGCGTGGCTGTCAGAAGTGTTA